TACATGACCATTCAAGAAGGGCCCATAAAAAACGGACATCTTATCAAGATACTTCTTGACACTGCACAAATCCCAAAGGAGGTTGGGTTATACACTGCAGAGGACACCAAACCTCCAATGACCCCATAGCCCAGGGGAACAAACTGGCAGATCTAACTGCAAAACAGGCTGCTCAACCACCAGGCCCCCACTCTTCCTCTCCTGCTCAGTCCTTCTCATAGTCCCTACACCCTTATCACAATACAAACCCCAAGAAATACAACACCTCCAACAGTTGGGGGCACAGAGGAAGGGCAACTGGTATACTGTCTCCGGTCACTATGTCCTCCCTACCACACAAACTGAGCAAATCCTTTTAGATTTCCATAATTCAGTTCATATAGGCTACGAACCCCTACTACACCTTCTTCAGCCCTTAAATGACTCTCCCCACATGGCCAGGCTACTTAAACAAATCACTCAAAATTGTCCTTTGTGTACTCGTTACTCCAATCAAGGTGACCTCCAAGTTCAGTCCTTTCCCCACCCACCAGGCCAGAGGATACACTCCTGGCCAGGATTGGCAAATTCACTTTACTCACATGCCTCCCCACAAAAGGACATACTATCTTCTCACTTTAGTAGATACCTTTTCAGGTTGGATTGAGACTTTTCCCTGCACTTCAGAAGATGCTACAGCAGTAACGTATGCTCTCACCTCAGGAATCATCCCTCATTTTGGCTTGCCCACCAGCTTCCAGTCTGATAATGGCCCAGCATTCATTTCCCAGATTACACAACTCACAGCACCAGCATTACATATCAAATGGGACTTACATATACCATATCACCCTCAGTCATCAGGCAAAGTAGAAAAAGCCAATCACGTCATAAAAACACACCTCACTAAGCTGTCCATGGAACTTCATCTCCCTTAGACACAACTTCTCCCTCTAGTACTCATTCGCTTGCAAGCTGACCCCCGCAAACCCACGCCTCAGCCCTTCAAACTTATGTATAGCAGACCCTTCACCCTCAGAACTCTCCCTTCCAGCTCATTGCCTTTAGGCCAGTATCTCCCTACTCTTTTGCTCATTAGGGATCTTCTTTGGGAACAGGCCAACCTTCTACTACTTCATCCTTTCCCCACCACCCCCTCAGACTTTAAACTGAGCCTGGGACAGCAAGTGTATATTCAAACCCGAATTCCAAAGCCCCTTTCACCATGTTGGGAAGGGCCTTGTACAGCACATCTCACCACCCCCATGGTAGTAAAAGTACTAGGAAAGGCCCCTTGGTATCACTTATCCTTGGTAAAACTAGCACCTGAGACTTTACCCACAGAATCTGTTAACACCAAGCCAGAGGGGTCCCTCTGCTCAACGCCCAACCCAATATCTCCTTACACTTCATCCATTTTAGGACCCACAAAATTGAAAACCTCCAGGACCTCCACTCTTCCTCCAATCCCAGAAGAAGGATGATCATTCCGCTGGTGATTATCCTCTCACTCTTGCTGGCCCGCTTCACGTCCTTCACACAGGAGCTGCTCCAAGACTGGTCCCGACCCACCACCTCCAGTGTTGAAGATGCTCTTGAGTGGGTAACTGAATTAGCCTGGCAGGGCACCCTCTGCAGTTACACCCCTGAGGAGGTTACCCTCTAGTCCTTTTTCCTACTAGGCACCCTCTCAACCTCTCAGCCACTGAACATTTGCCTTTTCTCTTCCTCTTGCTTCTTTTCCTAAGAAAAGACTTATGCCACACCCTGTTCACAATGTATAACCAAGGTCTTGGTGGGTGGAAGGACACTTTCCAACCTCCTGGGGTCCGCCACCCAGATTCCTCAGGGGAACCCTACAGGACACGTTCACATCCCTGACACACGTTCCCACAACATGCTATGACCAGACAACAGCCAATCATGTTCTTATGGGGTTAAAAATTACTGGATAGCTCTTCCAAAAGGGGATTCTGCTGGAGTCCAGTTCCTACCAAACAAAACATTTCTGCTTCACCTAAACCATTCACTGAGGCTATAGCGATGGGGGAGGACTTCAGGACAAAACACATCAGACCCCTGACCATGATGGGACTTATCTTCCTTCTTGGTCCCTGGCTCTTTCGGTGTTTCTGTAATTTCTTACAGGAACATATGTAGGCATTCACCAACCAAAAGGTCACCAAATTGTTCCTGGGAGGAGTATATCAGCCCCTGAGAACTGTTGACCCTTCCCCAGAATACAGCCTCCCCACATGAAACCAATACTCCGCCACCTAATTGTTTTATTTATTTCCTATCTTTGCACATCTCCAGCAGGAAGCAGCTTCAGAAGAATGAGACCTTCACCTCTTTTCCCTTCTCTCTATACTTAAAAGACAAGAATGATGGATCTTGGATGTGACTGGCACCATCTCGGACATGACTGGTGCCATTTTTCACACACTCAGCACAAAATGGCCACCAGCCTTTCCCTTACAAGAAACCTCGTGGTTTCTGAGAAGTAGAAACTACTCCACACCAGCACCAAATCCCTCCTTGATTACATCAGCCTTCCTTACAACCTACGTAAGCCCTCCCACCCCGACTCCAGCTGCTGCTCTCTATTTTGACTGCAGCCCAGCAGATTCTTTTCCTTTGCTAAAGCTTAATCGGTACCTGGCATTTCAGCTCACTTTCTTTCAATTACCAGCTCAGATAACATGTTGGGGAAAGCAAAGTTTTGGATCCAAGCCTCTAAAAAGGCTAATCATTCTGAGACATGATTTTGGTCTGTACTGGGGCCACTGTGTCTCCCCAAGAGACATTTGTCATTGTCTAGAAACAGTTTTGGAAACTGCATCTAGTGGGTAGAGGCCTGTGAAGTATGCATAAAGAAAATGTACTTCACAGGGCCTGGTTTTCCAAAGCCTTGTAATTTCAAATATTGACCTTACAAAAATCAGGAAATTTTCCCCAGGCTATTGAGTCTCTGTTGTAAGATAAAGAGTTGTAACACAGCAAGGTTGCTGGCTCAAAGACAGACAAGTTACTGATTGATATGTAACCTTACTGGGAAGCTGCTGTAAAAAGAGAACATTTGCTGAGATCAAGCTTTTGTTGGTGGATCACTTAATTGTCTAATGGAATGTCATCTGACTTCTTTTTACTGAAAGTTACCAGCCTACATTGTCATACTATAGCCCCACCTATGTCTCTTGCTGTAACTTCCTGGGCTGGAGAATAAATACAAGAAGGGAACCCCAATTCATGGTTAATTTCCCAAATGAAAGGAATGCCTCTCTCTTGAGGGTTCCAGGAAGTAAACCACTTCGGGGCTTCTCACTGCTCAGAAGAGATGGGCTTGAGTAGTCCTTTGCAGCTCTGTCACCCAGGTGAAGACAGGTGACAAATCCATGGGGGGGGGCAAAGCAACAGAGGCCAAGAAGCTGCTAAACATTCTACACCACATGGGACAATCCTCAGGATAAAGAAAGACCTGGTGCTAAGTTCTAATAGTGCCAATGTTGAGAAACCCTGCTATGAAGGAAGAGACAGTAGGTGGTTAAGGAGTTTACAGAGAACTCAGTTCCACTTCAATCCAGTCCCAATGGCCCAACTGAGAATAGGCAAAGCAGCATTTATGTCCCTGAATGATTTTAAATATCTAATTCTCTCAGTTCTCTCTCCCTCCTTCTTAGACATCCAGTAGGCTACTATGAAATTATAGCTACAAAATGCTTCCTCTCAAAAGATCAATTTCCTTGTACATTACAAATCATTAAGACTTCACAAATGTCAAAGTGGTGATTTTCAAACTCTTTTTTACTCTCCAAAATGTAGTTTCTTGCTAAAGCAAAACCTTACAAGAAACTGTAAGACAGAGAGAGATGAGGAGAATATTAGCAAAAATTTATTTCATAAGTTGCAATTTGAATTTAATTAATGTTGTTATCAATTAGAACTATAAGGACATTTTACTGGACACAAAAGTCTGAAACCAAAAACTGGGGCAAACGTTATGATCTTCTATCAACTTGAAATTTAACTTTTTCAGTGGCTTGATTTGATTGCACCATATCCAGAAAATCTAGTTGCAAATGGCTAAGGAGCTGAAAATGTGATGGCTTTTAAGCAGTCCAGCTTGCCATCTCAGGACAGTCTTCACTTAAAGAGGGTAGCAGAAAATTATTCTGAGCTCCACATACAAATGAGCTAACTGGTGTCAAGGTGACGAGTTGATGGCTTATTGTTTGGTAGCCAACACATTTGAGCATGCATAATTCTTTTTTTTTTTTTTTCCTTTTTGTCTTTTTTTTTTCGTGTCCGGCAACGGGATCGCAACCCTCGGTGTTGCGCCCTCACCTCACTCAGCCAGTGAGCGGGAACCGGTCTGTATGTGGGATCTGAACCCAGGGCGGGAGCGCCGCCAGCACTCCCAAGCAGTGCACTGTAGCAGTGCACCACCGGGCTGGCCCTGAGCATGCATAATTCTGATCACAGATTTTCAAATGAATTTTGGAATGATATTTGAATCACTTATTAGATGCCTGAAGCACCACGTTAGGGTTCCACAGAGCACGATGTGAAGACCACAGTGCTAGTCCCCACATGGAAAGAGTAGATTAGGAGAGCCAGCACCGGCTGATTGCTTTTTCATCTTAAATGCCCCCATTGAGGTGGACAAATGAAACTGCACCTATAATCTAAAGAGTTCATGTCATAACATGCATTGCCTCATAGCCAATGTTAGTAAGGGATTTAAAGTGACAAATTATCCCATATTCAAAAATGCCATCCAGCCCAAGAGAACCAGTTATAATTAATACAAGGCTACAGTGCTTAGTAACTAAATGAAAGGCACCATTAAAATATTAAAAGGAAAGGTGGATGATGAAACTTAAGAATAGAGTCAATGTCAGCTATTGTAACTTTCCATTTGTGCCCTGAAAGTGGCTGTGGACATCATGGACATCCTCCAGTTTCTCTTGTTTGATAAAGGATTTCCAAGCCCCAGAGCTCCCCAGTCTACCTTCCCTGGCCTACAGCAGGGCTTTACCTTCAGATAGCATGCTCAGGGCTTCATCAGAAGTGTGTCCACTGACACATGCCATCTTCCTGGAAATGGTGTTTTCACTGGGCACACGGGAGCCCACCGGGGACGGGTAAGTTCCCTCAGTGACAGAGGTCGTCATAGATTCCCATGGGATCTCCTTCCGGGGAGCCTGAAAATGCAGGTTGCATCCTGTCCAGCCATAGAAGGCCAGAGATAAGAGGAATCCTTGGGCTGGATTCAGTATCCCCTGGGAGAGGGGGAGGGAAGAAGACACATGGCACTCAGTGCATTACAGCAGGCATTAGAGCATTCTGTCCTCAAAGTGCTAAACTCTGCCCAGGATGCCTACCGGGCAGCCCTCACTGAGGAGTGACCTCTTAGTTGGTTGGTTTGGGGCAAGGTAAAGATTGGCCATAGTAGGTGCTGTACCTACAAGCGTGCCTGAAAATAGGGGTGGAGGAGCTTGCTGGTTAGCCCAGTTGGTTAGAGCATGGTGCTGATAACATAAAGGTCCAGGGTTTGATCCCTACACCAGCCAGCTGCCAGGAAAAAAAAGGGGGGGGGGAGAAAAAGGGGGAGAGGAAGCAGAGAAAAGGAGAAAGGGGCAGGGTCGGCTCGTGGCTAACTCGGGAGAGTGTGGTGCTGATAACACCAAGGCCATGGATTCGGATCCCATATAGGGATGGCCAGTTGGCTCATTGTCTGAGCGTGGTGTTGACAACACCAAGCCAAGGGCTGAGATCCCCTTACCGGCCATCTTAAAAAAAAAAAAAAAGAAAGAAAGAAAAAGAGAAAGGGGAAAGGAGGGGGGAAGGGAGGGAGAAGAAAAGGGGGGAGAGGAGATCCATGTGACCCAGGCAATGGAACCAAACCCGTTCTCGCCTCTGCCTAAGGTGCTTTGCTCCCCTGTAGCTTTCTACCTTGCACTGTCAACTCAGAATCTGATTTAACAAACGTTGTTCAGGCAAAAGTGAGTCTGGGAAGCATCCCTCCACTTGTGTGGTTCCCTTGGTTAACTTCACGTGTTTGGTTTGTTTACCACAGGGACTGAGGAGGCTAGTGCTGGCCTCATTTTAAGGTTCTTGTGAATCAGATCTTTCCCAACGCGGAAGCAATGTAAACATTAATTCTGTGTAGCACAGAGTGGACCTCTCCGCCAATGAAGACTTCAGCTCATGGATGCCTTTCTTATTGTAAATGTAATATAATCAAAACACCGGGGGAGAAGTCTACCCATGGCGCTTCCACTGTATTAACATTTCTTGTATTTCCAGCCAATATTTTTATATACGTATGTTTTTATGTAGTTGTAAGTGGTATAATTTTATACCCTACCTTGTCCACTTAATATCAGATATTTCTTAACAGTCATTTAAAAAATCTGGTAACATTTCACCAGGATGAAAGACTATAATTTACTTAACCATCCCCCCACTCCACCCTTTTTTCAAATTTGCATTTCCTATAATGCTTTATAATTATGGATAATGCTACTAGAAATTTCTTCATCCCTATGTCTTCTTTGTGATCTGAAATACTCCTTCAAGATAAAAGATCTGATATTGTGAGTCTGCCTGACAGTTTTGATGCACTGTGCCAAATTAATTTACCAGAGTTGTATCCATTTAATAATGATCCCAGTAATGAATGAAACCTGGTAGCTTAGCACACAAAGGCCAGATATAGGTAGGCCAGGAAACTGTTCAACTCACTATAAATTTATGACAATTCATCATACTTCTGCGTGTTTTTTTTCCAAGCTGAAAATTTTAAATCTAGATTAACCTACCATAATAAACCACGTGGTCTTGGCTGCACTTCTCACACCTTTCAAAGAGCCTCCATTGATATCTGGTTGCATTTCAAGATAGAATAAAAGGCTTTCATTGATGATATTTGACAACCAACTGTTAGAAAGAAAATGGCTCATGGGTAAAGAGAACATGCAACAAAATTCACTTTTAAATGCTGAGGTTTAGAGAATGATTTCTACAAAGGCTGAAAATTCCTAATTCCTGGTGGAGGGAAGACCACTTCAGCAGTAAGAAACCACAAGGAACCAGCACACCAAGAACTCAATTTAAGAACTATAACTCCTCGCAGTCTAAAGCAGAGATCAGCAAATCCTTCCAATGGTAACACTCAGTGCCACTTCAGGGTATAAAGTTCTAGCACCATGTCAAATAACCCAGAATTCATTCTTTGTTTGAGGAGTAACCCGAAGTTTCGATATAGACCAAAACAAATCTTATTTTGACATTTTATGCTGGAACTTTAAAATGTTACTCTTGGGGATCAGTGAAGTTTGATGTGGTGAGCTGAGTATATTTTTAGTGAGAGATAATTTAAGTCTCTCCTAGGATGGTGTTCAAACAAATCTCCTAATATCAGATTAGTTATTAAGACCACAAAGGCTTGCCCTGTCCTGCAAAGTATTGGTTTGCTGCAGTACAGGGTGTTCTAATTTCCACCTTTTCTGCACTGGCTACAGGTCTACTTTCAAAGCATGCACCTTTCCTTTTGGGTAGGACACCAGTGATGAGGAAAACTGAAGAGCAAAATTTCTCAGCCTGTTCTCTGCCCTTCGTGACTGAGGTCTGAGTCTTTACATGGAAGATGTGCGCTTGCTCCTCTGTGAGATACAGAAATTCTGGTGTCACGAGTGAGGCACATGGGTGGATTTAGAAAGTATGATCAACCGCTTCATTTCAGTTAATCCCAGGAAGGGATGAAATAGTGGATGCATATGGCTGGGACATTTCAAAACTAAATCTGGGAGTTCTTTTTCTAAGAGCATTATATATAATCTGAGTACATTTGGATATTCTTCCAGAAATTCATACACTCTGGACTTGCTCCCCTGTCCTCCATGTATTTCCTCAAAGGGCACTTAGCACTGTTTCAAAGATTTCCTCTCCAAAGACTCTTCTGTTTGGAACTTCCAGGTCACACTTGGAAAAGCAAAAGGGCAAACCATTTGCATATCCCTTACCAGAAGCAATAAAAAAAAAATAGAAGAAAGGTTACCAAATAATTAAAACCAGCATTATTTTGAAAAATCTGATCTTGATCACAGCTCCCATCCGTCGCTCATTCTCCGTGTAAATGCCTTGTCGTCCTTTTAGTAAAGAGGCCCCTGGGAAGAACAGAAGGGAACCACATGGAGTGTTCATTATTTCTGTTTACTGAGTACGGAGAGCAGAATCAGAGCAGATGTGAGCCCATAATCAAAACCAGACAGCATGAGGCAAAGCAAGCTACTGACCTCCATTCATCACAACTTCTAAGTTGGAGTCCTCCTAGACTCTAAGGAATATATATCTTAAAATTTTTACTTTGAAGCAATGTTAGATTGACTTAAAAATTGCAAAGGTAGCTCAGAAAGCTTCTGTATACCTGTACTCTTTGCCCAGCTTCTCCCAGTGTTAACAATTTACACAACCACAGGACGTTTGTCACAAATAAGAAATTCACAGTGATATGAACTAAACTTCCAATTTTATTTGGATTTTACTACTTCAGGGACTATATTTTTAAAGGTTTCTTTTCTCTATTATAAAAATAATACACACCTGTTATTTTAAAATACTTAACTATTTTAAGATTCTCCTTATAGACAAGTTAGAAAGTATAAAAAAAGTTTACAGAATAATTAATGACCCATGGTCCCTCCACCCTGAGACAACCACCATTAACTTTTTACTGTATTTCTTTTCAGTCCTTTTTTCTATGAGTCATTTTCATTGGTTTGATATACTTAAGTCACTATTTTTTACTTAATTTTGTAAAAAAATTCCGGTGTTTAATGCACCATATTTAAATGTAGATATAAAAAGACTGGTCCAAAGACCCACAATAGTTTCCTGCTCCTAGTGGTAGAGTACTTTAAACAATGTTTTAAAATTCTAAAATCAACAGCTGATCCTCAAACAACCTTTCTGTTAAGGCAAACTTCCTGATGCCCATCCTGCCCTTGAGGGATCCACAGCAGCCCAAGGAAGCTGGACACTTGCTCCAGGTCACCCTTCCTTGAAGAGGTGGTAGGGGCTGGAATGGAAATCCCCAGTCCCAGCCCAGAGGTCCTTCCCTAGCATTCTACTGACCCACTATACTCCTCTTATCCAGTTCTTCCCATTGAATCTGGCTCATTTCCTGTTTCCTGCCCATCTGAGAAAACACACAAGCCAAGAGCATGATGGCAGTGACCAGGCTCCAGACTCCTCAGACTTTGCCCCACCCCTTCCCCCCACCCCTTTCTCCACCCCTTCCCTCCCCTTCGGCTCCTATCTCACCTCCACAGCTTCCTAAGGCCACTCCTTGGAGCCTCTAAGGCATGCCAAGGGCAGACCCAGAATGAGCCCAGCACAGAAATGAAAGGTCAACTTGTCCTGGCCTTGAGCTAACAAACGTTGGCAGAGAACGTGTATGGTCCAGGACTAAACAGGCTTGCTCATTTTCATTTCTTAAACCTGTTAACTTTATCCAACTGTATTCTGCTTATGCCTCGGGAGGAGGATGAATGGGGTCAACTGTCCTGGATAATGCCAGAAGGATGACATGCCATTATCTGAGCCCCAGACATGGGGTCATACCCAGTGTCCATGTACCCAGAGAACTTCCCTATTATGTACCTGCCATCACTGTCTTTTGGAACAGGATGGGGTTGGCCACAAGGACGAGGAGCAGTGGCAAGTACGTGGTGGCATAGTGGGGAATGGTGTGGTCCAGACCCCTTTCACACCTGAGGGAGGAAAACTGAGTCATTCTTCTTGAATGCAAAGCTTTGGCTAAAACATGCAGACTTATCTGGAAGCTGAGATAAGAGGATGACGGTGAAAAGGGAGATGCATAAAAATCTACTTCTGACCCTGCTAAAAGGAAATCTCTCATGTCTGAGAACAAGCAATAAGTTGCAGGAGAATAAGGAAATCAATCATGTTTCTGTCTCATAAATGGGAGGACCTGTAAGGCATTTAAGGAAAAGACACTCTGGGGTAGAGGATTCCCTACACGGGGTCTCTTTAAGGAAAAAAACACAAAATTCAAGTAGAAACAAAGGCACTCAACTGGTTAGGTTTTGAGCACCTGCTACATGCTACACATTAGCCAGTAGCATGAATGATTCTAGTCCCTCTCCCTGAGCAACTCAAAATACCTGAGCCTCGTATTTCAAAGGAAATTTGTTCTCATGATTATGGATATGAATTGTTTCTGTGATTCTTTTCAGGGAGAAGGACAAAGTTTTGTACTGATGAGTCACCGGCATTGCTGGTCACAGTAGGATGTGTGAGGAGCCACACAGTGGATGTTACCAAGTAGGAACTATCAGCTAAGAAATGCATAATGCAGGAGAGAAGAAAAATGGTGCAGAGGAAGAGAGAACCAAGGCAAAGGGGAGAAAAGACAGAGCAGGCCCAACCAAAGGGGCAGGCAGAAAAGCAGATGACAGCCAGCCCCTGTGGCCACAGAAGGTGAAATGATAAAAACAAAAGCACTTTTAATATTCATGGAGTATTCAAACCAAAAGGTAAAAAATAGCAGAAAATAAAAAAAATTGGGTAGGAAGGGCCGGCCCGGTGGCGCACTGTGCTAGTGCGCCACTTGGGAAGCGTGGAGGCGCTCCCGCCAAGGGTTCAGATCCCACATACAGACCGGTTCCCGCTCACTGGCTGAGCGAGGCGCGGGGGTTGCGATCCCGTTGCCGGTCCCGGTCTGGTACAGGGGCGACACTGAGGGTTGCGGAAAAAAAAAAAAAAAAAAAAAAAAAAAAAAATTGGGTAGGAAAAATGCAATACCATTTTGCCATAGGAAGGATTTCCATGCCGCCACCTCCTTCTTAACAGGCACTTTCATCTTCAGCTATGAAGGCTAAAGTGCAGTCTGGAAAGGCTCAAGGGGAGAAAGGGAGAGAAGCAGCAAGAGACGTGATTCTACCGCCAAGACAGAAAGTGCATGCTAATGACAGTGAGGCTGCGAAGCATGAGGGACGCCAAAGGTTTGAGGTTGGGAGATGTGAGGACTAAGATCTGATTAAGGATTAAGATGCTTCCTGAAGACCCGACAGCACCTCAGGGCTCCTTGTCAGACCCCCAGCGATCACGCCCTTAGGCTCAGATTCCACTTTGCCAGGGGTCTCCAGGGTCCCACAGGTGAGGGCAAGCAACAGAAACTCCCTTTCCAATTAAGTGCGTTCTGTTATAGCAGCTGCTGACACTGTATCTGCCCTGTTCAAGTTCTCCAGGAAAGAGAGCGCACGAATGGATCTACACGGAGCTCCTGTGAGTATTCACAGTTGATAAGGCAAAACCAGTTTGGAGACCTCTAACTGAGTAGCTGAAAGAAATTGAAAAAGAAGGGGGAGAAATGATCTACACCATGGGCCAGCAATTTTTTTCTGTAAAGGGACAGATAGTAAATATTCTCTGCTTTGTGGGTCACACCACAGTCTCTGTCACACGACTCAACCCTGATGTTGTAGTGCAAAAGCAGCCATAGACAGTACATAAAAAAATGGGCTGTGTTCCAATAAAACTTTATGTACAAAATCAGGCAAAGGGCCAAATTTATCCTGAGGGCTGTGCTGTGCTGATCCCAGTCCACATAGCCCAAAAAATCACAGGTACTGCTCACCTGTTTACCATAGGAAGTTAGAGTATGTGTCCTTGCAGGTGCCTTGAGGCCTTGCAAATGGTTGCATTGATGGGATTTTAAACTTGAAGAAATGCCTGAAACAGTATCAGTGGCCACATCTTCCTGCATCTGTGTTCAGGGTAGGCAAGAGTGCAGGATGGAAGAGAAGGGAGAAAGCGCAGGAGGCAGAGGCACAGAATTAGCTCCTCCCAGAGCTCCCATTTGCTTCTCATCTCGAACTCATGCTTAAAATGTTAGACTCACCTGCTCCTCCAGAGCAAGCTTGAAGAATAAAAATTAAAGAGTGGGCATGAGGAAGCTTCACCAATACGGAGAGGATATACCAAAAGATTTGCATACCTGCTGTGAGCACGCAAACGAGAAAAGCAGAGGCAGGGAAGGAAATCATGGGTGCAAGGCCCTGCAGTGAGCCCTCCAGGTCGTGATTGTGAGTGGTCTCACATGGCACAAGACAATGGGGTGACATGCAAGGCAACCCCTGTGGGTCAGGGCATGTCCATTTCCTGCAGAACACAGAATGGGCCTGCGGTTGGAGCACCTGGGGTGCCAGGCGTGCTGGCTTACCTGGACACAGAAGGGTAGTAAAGCATGACAGCTCCCTCCAGGCAGAGTAGGGTGGCCAGGCCCCAGGCCATGATGTGGTACAGCAGGATGGTGCTGGAGAGGAAAAAAGCAGGCAGCAACAGCTTAGGGGGACAAAAACATCCCCAATGAAACCACCAGACTGCTTCCATGCTCTGGAAAGGTCAGGGAAGTACACACACAGGAAACCCTACTACAGAGAATGTCCTTATGTTGCTACTGAGGTTGCTGATTGTAGTTTTTTGTTTTTTTCAATTAAGGTGAAATGCATGTAACATAAAAGTAGCTATTTGAATGTGAACAATTCAGTGGCACTTAGTACATTTGCAATGTCATGCAACCACCTCTACCTAGTTCCAAAGCATTTTCATCCCCCCAAAAGGAGACCGCATAAAGTAAAGCATGACAGCTCCCTCCAGGCAGAGTAGGGTGGCCAGGCCCCAGGCCATGATGTGGTACAGCAGGATGGTGCTGGAGAGGAAAAAAGCAGGCAGCAACAGCTTAGGGGGACAAAAACGTCCCCAATGAAACCACTAGACTGATCTCATGCCCTGGAAAGGTCAGGGAAGTACACACAGCAAAACCCTTCTACAGAGAGTGTCCTTATGTTGCTACTGAGGTTGTGGATTATAGTTTTTTGTTTTTTTTCAATTAAGGTGAAATGCATGTAACATAAAAGTAGCTATTTGAATGTGAACAATTCAGTGGCACTTAGTACATTTGCAATGTCATGCAACCACCTCTACCTAGTTCCAAAGCATTTTCATCCCCCCAAAAGGAGACCCCATACCATTAAACAGTCACTCTCCATTCCCCCACCCCCAACCCCTGGCAACTGCTGCTTCCTGCTACTTTCCATCTCTGTGAATTTGCCCATTCTGGACATTTTATATAGATGGGATCATACAGTATGTGGCCTTTTGTGTCTGGCTTCTTTCACTTAACATAATATTTTTAAGGTTCATCCATGTGACACAATGTGTCAGAACTTCATTCCTTTTTCTTGGTGAATACTATTATGCTATACGGTTATATCATATTTTGTTTATTCATTCATTCATCAATGGGTATGTAGTTTGTTCCACCTGTTAGCTGTTGTGAACGGTGCTGCTATGAACATGCACATGCAAGTGTTTCTCTGAGTCCTTGCTTTCTTTTCTTTTGGGTCTACATCTAGGAGTGGAGTTGCTGGGTCAGATGGTATTTCTACACTTAACTTTTTGAGGAACCACCAAACTTCTTCCTGCAGCAAGTGCACCGTTTTACATTCCCACCAGCAATGTACAATGATTCCAATTCCTCCATGTTTTTGTCAACACTTGCTATTTTCCACTTTTGATTTTAGCCAGCCTAGGGGACTGGCTGCTAATTTTTAGACTTGACCTAAATGGGACCCACTTTCAATAAAACCATGGAATAGACAATTCCATCTCTAGTACCCTCTGAACAAATTTTTCAGTTCTCATTGACTATATACTGAATGTTTGTGTCCCCTCCCACACATAAATTCCTATGTTGAAATTCTAACTCCCAAGGTGATTGTGTTAGGAGGTAGGGCTTTTGGGAGGAAATGAGGTCATGAGGGTGGAGCCCTCATGAATGAGATTAATGCCCTTATAAAAGATACCCCAGAGAGCTGCCTCATCCCTTCCACCATGTGAGGACACAGTGAGAAGGCACCATCTGTGAACCAGGAAGTGTGCCCTTATCAGACACCAAATCTTCTGGCACCTTGATCTTAAACGTCTAGCCTCCAGAACTGTGAGCAATAAATGTCTGTTGTTTACAAGCCACCCAGTCTATGGTACTTTGTTAGAGCAGCCCAAGTTAGCTAAGACACTATCTCATAGGCCTGGTACCTGTTCCTTGCTCCTCTCAACCCTCCAGGCCCACTCAGCCTCCCTCTTATCCACAGCCTGCTAGTCTAATCCCAGGTAGATGCCCTGAGGCCAAAACACCTGGTGATTACTAGCAGCATGATCTGGGCTAAACCCTTTTCTCAGAGCCTTGGGTTGCTCTTAGCCACAGGAAAGATAAAACTCTCAATGGCCTGCCTGTGCCACTACAGTCACAGCCAGTGGACATCATGCCATGCAGCTGTCCCATAACTGTAAACCAAATAAACTTTTGTTCTTTATAAATTACCCAGTCTCAGGTATTCGGTTATAGCAACACAAAAATGACTAATGCAAAAAATTGGTACCAAGGAGTAGGGTGTTTCTATACATATAGCTAAAAATATGGAAGCGCCTTTGGAACTGGGCAATGGGCAAAGGTTGGAGGAGATTGGAGGACCTAAAAGAAGACAAGAAGATGAGGGAAAGTTTGGAACATTTTAGAGATTGGTTAAATGGTTGTGGCCAGAATGTTGATGGAAATGTGGATAGTAAAAGTCATGCTGATGATGAGGTCTCAGGTAGAAAAGAGGAACTTATTGGGAATTGGACAAAATGCCACCTTTGCTACACTATAGTAAGGAACTTGGCTGCATTGTGTCCATGCCCTAGGACTTTGTGGAAGGTGGGACTTAAGAGCTGTGTAACCAGAATGTTTCGCAGAAAAAATTTCTAAGCAGCAATGCATTCAGGAAGCTGCATGGTACTTGCAATAACCATAAATCAGAAGTTATGGCAGAAAAGGCATGATGTAAGGCCAGAATTTAAAGAGAAGCAAAGCATAAAGATTTAGAAAATTTGAAGCCTGGCCATGTGGTAGAGAAGCAGAGAGCAGGAGAAAAACGCAAGGGTGAAGCAGATAGACTGGTTGCTAAGGACATAAGCTTGGTGGTGAGGCAGCCAGGTGCCAACAGGCAAGACAATGGGAGAAAAGCCATGATGACATTTCAGAAATCTGGAAGGGCACCTCTCCCACCACAGACCCTGAGGCATAGGAGGCCCAAGGTGTCCCAGAGAACAGACCTGGGGCACCACTGCCCTCAGGAACCCACTCCCTGCATCCCAGCTGCTCTGGCTGGAGCATCCCTGCCTCAAGCAGCCCCAAGTGTGGTTTGTGTAACACCTCTGGAGAACAGAAGCTGGAAACCTTTTTGTGAAGGTTAATTCTAGGTGCCAACTTGGTTAGATGAAGGAATGCTGAGAAACCTGGTAAAACTATCTTTTCAGGTACGTCCATGAGGGTGTTTCCAGCAGAGATTAGTATGAGAGTCTGAGTGGACTGGGTGGGAAAGACCCACCCTCAGTGTGGGTGGGAACCATCCAATCTGCTGGGGTCATGGAGAGAACCAAAGACAGAGGAAAGAGGTGAACCTCTCTCGATCTGCTGGAGCTGGGATAAACTCTTCTCTCCGGTCCGTGGACATCAGAGCTTGAGACTCTTCAGCTTTGGGGTTCTAGGACTTACACCAAGGATACCATCAGCTTCCCTGGTTTTGAGGCCTTTGGACTTGGAGTGAGACACGCTACTGGAATGTAGCTTATAGACAGCCTATTGTGGGACTTTTCTTCATAGCCTTGTGAGCTAATTCTCCTAATAAATCCCTCTCATATAATTATAATCTATTCTATTGATTCTGTCTCTCTGGAGAACCCTGACTAATACACTTGGTGGCATCCACATCATGTTAAGTCTTCAGGCTGGCAGAACATGAGAGCTGTGGAGGCATGGCAGCCTCCACCCCAATTTCAGAGGATGTACAGAAAAGCCTGGGGGCCCAGGCAGATACCTGCCACACATGTGGAGCCACTGCAGAAGCCATCTACTAGAGCAATGACAAGCAGGAAAGTGGGATCAGAGCTCCCACAGAGACCCTCCCCAACAGAGAAATGTCTAGGAGAGCCAACACAGTGGGGCTGCCACCAGGACCCCAGAGCTGTAGGGCCACTGGCAACATGGAATGCCCACCTGGAAAAGCTGCAGGCACCAGTGCAGCTCAATGGGCTATGACTTGCACAGCACTGGGAGTGTGACTGCCAATGCTTTGGGGGCCCAGATGCTCCATTGTGCCCAAGATGCAGGACTTGGAGTCAAAGAAGATTATTTTGGAGTTTTAAGGCTTAATGTCTATCCTGATGTGCTTTGGGCTTGTTTGGGGCCTGTTTCTCCTTTCTTCTGGCCTACTCCTCCCTTTTGAAATGGGTATGTGTAGCCAATGTCTGTTCCACTATTGTGTCTTGGAAGTAGATAAATTTGGTTTTGATTTGTACAGGTTCATGGCTGGAAGTTTTGCCTTTGGTCTCAGACGAGACGTTGGACTTGAAGTTGGTGCCGGAACAAGCTAAGACTTTTGGGACTGCTGGGATGGAATAATTGTATTTTGTATGTCACAGTGACATGAGTTTTGGGGGGCCAGGGGCAGAATGATAGTTTGGATGTCTTGCCCCCATCAAAACTCACATGGAAATCTGACCCCAATGTGGCAGTGTTGGGAGCTGTTTGAGTCATGGGGTGGATCCCTCATGAACAGATTAATGCTCTCCCTGGGGTAGGGGGGATTAATGAGTGAGTTCTTGCTCTATTAGTTTCCATGAGAGCTCATTGCTTAAAAAGACCCTAGCACCTCCTCTCTCTCTCTCTCTCTCTCTCTCTTGCTTCCTCTTGCCATGTGATCTGCTTGTACCCACCAGATGCCTGCTACTTTCAGCCATGAGTAGAAGGAGCCTGAAGCCCGTGACAGATGCAGCTGTCCCAGAATCATAAGCCAAATAAACCCCAGTTCTTTATAAATCATCTAGTCTCAGGTATTGTTATAGCCACACAAAAACGGACTAACAGGCCCCCACTGCTTTCTATTACTTATGATATGAGGCTGGCTATTGAGTTTGAGGACAGTAAGGACAGGATGTAGGAGGACAGGGAGTGTGAGGACAGGAAGTTGAGGACAGGAAGTGTGAGAATAGTTGGAGGACAGGAAGTATGAGACAGGAAGTGCAAAGACAGGAAATGTGAGGACAGTTTGAGGACAGGAAGTATAAAGAAAAGAAGTCAAGGATGGGAAGTGAAGACACTTGAAGGACAGGAAGTATGAAGACAGGAAGTTCAAGGACAGTTAGTGTGAGGACAGTTGGCCTACCAGAAATATGAGATAGGAAGTTCAAGGACAGGAAGTTCAAAGGCAGGAAGTTCAAGGACAGCAAGTGTAAGGAGAGTTGGAGGAGAGGAAGTATGACAGGGAGTTCAAGGACAGGAATTGTGAGGACAGAAAGTATTAAAACAGAAAGTTCCAGGACAGGAAGGAGGACAGGAAGTTTGAAGACAGTTAAGGAGACCCCAGCAATGGAATTTACCATCATCTTGTGCTCAGGAAGGTTGGAAATGATTGCTGGACCATCAGTATGGTCACTATGGTAACTTCATTTGGCTGCACATTATTTAGACAAGAGGGGCCAATGATAGGAGAGTCTTCCTACACTCTTAACCTATAAGCACAGCCTTCAGGTATGTGCAAAGGTAATGCTGAGTTAAAAGGAATGAAGCATTGACACATGCAACAATGTGAATGGACCTCAAAACAT